GTCTTAAGAAAAAGTGATAAAATGAGATTAATTAAATGCTTTAGTGTGTTAATATAGGTGGATTTCTCTCAACCTGAGGACAAGAGTACAGCGGCAAAAGGATAGATTAACAGAATTGGGAGGAAAGCAGGCCAAGTTTTGGCTTAAAATTTTACAGCTTGACCTCTCACTTTGTCCCGATCCTGAGAAGAAGCCTAAAGGACAATTAATCTCCTGATGAAGACAGAAGACAGACAGAACATTGTGTACTTGAAGAGTTAACAGCAGGCAAAAAGTCAGTGCAACTGACCCTTAACACTGAAGGGTCAAGCAGCAGCATGTATGAATACCACTGATGGAACATGAGCTTTTGAACCTGACAAGTGACATGACTGTTTGAAGGCAGTGGACGTGATATTGGCCATGCTGGGAGTTAACCTACAAGAAAAGACTGAAAGATCAACGGAGAAGAAAAAGAGAAGAAGAAAACAGATGAGTGGGACTGTGTTTGCTGGAGATTTTAAGGCCACACAGGACAATGTGAGAAGAGGGACAGGAACCAGTCAAAGGTCAAACCCGGGCGAGTTTGAGTGCGAGAATACAGGATATAATTGGATTGAAATTGAAGCCTGAACTCATGATGGTTTAGAGATGTCCACCAGATCACAACAAAGAGGTAAACAAAAAAAAGGTAAAAATAAAGAGAGAAACTAACTAACAATTACATTAATGAATAGAAAACACACATACACAAACTGTTACATGTGAAACTATTTTTGGAAAGAATCAGAAGTGAGACAGTTTGAATCCAGAGCTCAGTGAAAAGATGCATGAATTAAACCTGATTATAAAATACATATGCAATGAAGACACGCTTACACTTACATACATGACATAAATTGCTATTTCTGACCGGAAAAAGAGAAATGGGTCGTTTAAGCACTCATGATAATAATGAAAATGTCTCAGTTTTGTTATTTTCAGGTGCAAAGACCTGGATCAATTTTCCACATGCAGCAGTCGGAAGAAAGTTATAGGTTAACATCACTGGAAATGTCCAGGCAAGTTTCTGGTTGAATTGTTCACAGCGCCATGTGTTACTAAACCTCACCAGCAAGCTCTAACTCCTGTCTGAAGACAAGGGATGCTGTTATTTAAGGTGGGAAATCAAAATTTGGGTTAGCAAACTTGGGAAAGAGAAAACTGACCGCTTAAGTGGGAAAATTGTGATGGAGTCTGAAACACTGCAAAAAGAAACATATACAAAATCACACACACAAACAGAAAATGCATTAACCTTTTAACCACGAGAGAGCTCATGAGGATTAGACAGCATGTTGAGCATGTGAGTCTGTTTATTAGTGTTAAACTAGTGTGAACACACTTAAACCCTGAAGTTGAGGAATAACTCGGGAAAGAGAGCGACGTTGGTGAAAATAAAAGTGATTAAAAGCTTAAAGTAGTTTTAAAATAGTGAATTGGAAGTGCTCTTGTGGCGATTGAGCAAAACAAGTAATTACTCTAGGAAGAAAATAAAAAAATTTAATAATGTGGTGAGATTTAAATATGCCTTTCTCCTGTCACGGTAACTTGTTGAGATATGACTCAGTATGCAAATTAGCTGAAGTGAGTGGTGACAAAGAAGCTTCCTGTGTGTCTGTGCGTCAGAGGCGTCAAATGGAGGAAATATAGCAGAGACTGAAGAGGATTACTTTATCATTTATAATTTAGTGATGATAAATTGTCATAACGTGTGTAGAAAGGGCTCAATGAGAATATCAAGGGTGTGCAAAAATGTGCAGCTTTTGACAAGATTTTTGGTATATTGAACGGGTGAAATTATGTCAGTTGACCTGAGAGTGTCAGGATCCTGAAGAACCGGTGGCAAAACTTTTCTGTGTGTAAGATGTTTGAGGTTGTTGTTTTAGTGATGGGTTGATTCTGTCAGTTAGGTTTGGGTTGTTTTCTTATTTTAATAGAGGGAGTTTTATTAAACATGGACATGTATTAGAGGGGCCCATTATTTTTGTAACAGTGCACTTAGAAAACCTGTCAAGTGATTTTGTTTTGTGCTTTGATGAGCTAATAATTAGCTCTCTTTTTCTAATTTTTGTTCTAAGCAGGCCTGGAAGTGAGTGAATTAACAGCGCTGTAAAAATTTCCGGGAGAACAAACATAAGGTGAGCTTTCCAGATTACAATGGGTGGAGGAAAGGCTACCTGTGGGGACCTGATCAGGTTGTAAGTCCCTGTCTAAAAGGATTGCCGCGAGCCAATCCAGTCCAAGAGCATAAAGAACTATTCTCCTACAAAACAAAATAAAATAAATGAATGAGCTCATGTTGCTAAGGGTGGAGAATCTAATTATTTTTGCGGGAGTCTCCACTATCAGCAATATCTCGTGTGAATGTATCTGGTGTGAATGTGTGTGACTGGACCAAGGTTAGGATGAATAAATGTGGACAAACAATTTACCATGCCGGCAAGAGAAAGGGGATGCTTTGCTTTTGCCATGAGCAGGAGGAGTGGGAGACTTACTTTTGGGGATGCTGATTTTGGGTTACTGGTGTTGGCTTTAAGTAAACTCTGTGTTATTGACTGGGTTTAGATTATGGTACTAGATTATAGTGTTGGGAAAATGCCAAATGCTAAAGGGGAGAAAATTTTGATGTTACTCATGTTACCATTAACCAAAGCAGGCCACTGTAGAAGTCAATTAAAGTTTATAGAGAAAAATAACTAAAACAAAAGTAATATTTATGAGTCACATAGGAGATTGCTAGACTTTTCATATAAAATGCAGTTATAGAATAACGAACGCTTATCTAAGTGACCAAGGTTTCTTGCTTTAACCCTTTAAGACCTACCATAGAACCAAGTCCGCCAGAGCTTATATTATATTTTTACATG